ATCATATATTTCAAGCTTTAAGAGTTATCTTGGTTTACAAATTTCTTTTATGAACGGTTTTTTTTTTTCGAAATTTCGAGTTTTTTAAAATTTTTGCTCTTTTCTGCAGTATTCGAAACGCCTGGGTGAACTGTGTTTCATAGTTAGATCCTTCAAACAGCGCAGCTGATAATCTGTCTATTCTGTCCAGTGCTATTTCTTGATGCCCGTTTTATCTTCTGAAAAATTACCATCTCTGCTTATTCTCTAGACAGAGGCATTTAGCAAAGTTTTTAATATTTCGTGTTGTTTCGGTATGTTTTGTGCGTTGCTGCATGCGGATACAAGATATCTTGCTGCCCGGGAGCTTTTTTCTAATCTTTTTAAATTCTTCTTCAGCATCGAAGCGCTTCACTTTCCTGAAAAGTTGTCCCAACATATAACATTTAACTGGTGCTTAGCAAAACCCAAAATTCCCACTTCACTACGCTCGTGAATTGAGTTTTTGCTTAGCTGGCAGTATGTTATTCACAGCAAAATCTTGTTGCAGGTTGTTGTTCCGACACCATCTTTTCTGGAGGATCGCCGTCCATACTATGAAGACAGACAGCACATTGATAAGGTAAATTCCTATAGAACTTGACTGTTACGGGGTAGCAACGATATGTGGTCCTTTGTTTTTCAAATCTTAGAGAGTAGAAAGGCAAAATGATCGATGAAAAGCCAAACAGTTCAGTTTTCTACAGTCTGTTTTGATATCTGCGTGATCTACAGATTTTAGGAGTCCCATTGTACGGTTCCGATTAGTATACATAGACATTTCGGTCCATTAATTCATATATGTCTTAATAAATTATCACTTGGTTAAGCCGATTGTAGCATCCAGATTGTCCTTGAATGCCAAAGTGTCGAAGACGTGTTGGATATAAAGCAGGAACAGTATGAGGAAAGGAAGCAAAAATGAGAAAAGACATTTCGGTCCATTAAGTCATATACGTCTTAACTCAACACCGCGACAGGACCTCGTGACAGTATGACGGGATCCTGTCGCAGTGTTAATTTCAGTGTCTCGAGTTTCTCAAATTCAGTATGATGTTTACAGTTATTTCGAGTACCAAAATATGTTATAGTTATACATAGTTTAGTTCCCCATATATACAGCGAGCAGCTTTTCCAGCTGCTTTAACCAGTTCTGCACAGCATGCTAGTTAGACTTTTGGTGTTCTTGGCATCCCGCTTGTTCCAGAGATTAAAATTCGGTCTACTACCAACGGTCGCAGATTTTTTGAACAATTTTATCTCCATCCTTCGTTTTAACTTTCTGACTCCGGCCGTTCCATATTTTGATTTCTTTGGACCGCCCACTTGTAAGGTTGCGATTCGGCCTTCTAACTGCCGCAATTTATCATTTATTCCTTAACACCGTGAAAGAACTGTGGGTTCATTACATAGGCGGATCCAGCGGGGTGGAGGGCACAAGCAGTACCAAACACACTTTTGTACAGCGAAACAACTACTACTTGAGCCCCTAGGGAGTGGATGAAGAGGGGGG